TCACCCTACACCCATAGCTATGCCACCTTTTTAGTCCCTAGCTACCACTCACCTGGTGCGTATGAAAGGCATGACAATAGCAAGGTCAGTGGCAAGCAGCGTAAGCGCTAATCGAGCAGCTTATTCACTCTTGTGGCTTTACCCCATGGTCTATTTACCCTCTCAACGCTGGTTGGTGCACAGGAAACACTGCCACTTTCTTTTTAGTCCCTAGTTCGTCCCTAGTTAGTCGTGGCAGCAGCGTGAGCGCTAATGAGAAGCTTGACTCACTCTTGTGGCCTAAACCCATAGTGTGTCTTCTATCAGCTTCTAGCCACTCACCTGGTGCGCAGGAAGGGCATGGCCACCCCAGCCACAGTGGCCACCAGCAGTAGAGACAGCTGCAGCAATGTAAGCGCCATTTTGAGCAGCTTGATGACTCACTCTTGTGGGCCCATTCTACCATATAACCTGTCCATCCTCTAGCCACTCACCTGGTCCGCAGGAAGGGCATGGCCACCCCGGCCACGGTGGCTATCAGCAGTAGGGCTAGCTGCAGCAGCGTGAGCGCCACGTTGAGCAGCTTGACGAGCAGCAGGCGCGGCGGCAGCGCGGCCGCCTGGACAGACGCCGGCCGCATGGCCACGCCAGCCAAGGCTACCAATAGTAAGACTACTTGCAGCAGTATGAGCGCCACGTGGAGCAGCTTAACGACTCACTCTAGTGGCTCTTTACAGCAATGCCACCTAATAGTATCAAGCTACTCAATTCTTCTTAATCATGTCAGTCACAGGACGTCAACTGCTGAATGCATGCCTCTCCCAAGGATTTTATTTTTTTGATTGGCTGGTCAGCCGTGGCCTTCATTGTTGCCCTATCGGACGTCAATCTTGCATTGTATTTTAGAGGAAAAGATGTTGTGTAGTCACTCACCTAGTGCACAGGACAGGCATGGTTAATCCAGCCACGGTGGCTACCAGCAACAAAGCCACTGTGGCCTTTACTATGGCCACTATAAGCGCCACCATACTTTACTATCCTCTAGCCAGCTAAGGTTGAAACCTTTGTCACCTGTCATCCGCTTTGCAATGGAGGGAAGTCGAACCTTAATTTCCAACTCCTCCTATGTTCTTCTGATTAATTTCGTTGCGGGTCCAATGACAGTTTAACTTTTCCCCGGGACAAACTTGACCTTCATTGGTTGGGTTTTTGTGGCGGTCAAGCTGTAGATCCTGGCTACACAGGAGTTGCAGTGGTGGGAACGAGAGGTGGGAATAGTCCCGTATCCTCGAGCCACTCACCGGGTGCGCAGGAAGGGCATGGCCACCCCGGCCACAGTAGCCACCAGCAGTAGAGCCAGCTGGAGCAATGTAAGCGTCACGTTACGCAGCTTGACTCACCCTACACCCATAGCTATGCCACTTTTTTAGTCCCTAGCTACCACTCACCTGATGCGTATGAAAGGCATGACAATAGCAAGGTCGTGGCAGCAGCGTGAGCGCTAATGAGAAGCTTGACTCACTCTTGTGGCCTAACCCCATAGTGTGTCTTCTATCAGCTTCTAGCCACTCACCTGGTGCGCAGGAAGGGCATGGCCACCCCGGCCACGGTGGCCACCAGCAGTAGAGCCAGCTGCAGCAGCGTCAGCGCCACGTTGAGCAGGTTGACGCACCATACCTATGCCACTATCTTTTAACTTCCTAGCACCTGGTGCGTATGAAAGGCATCGGCACTATTATGAAAGGCATGACAATAGCAAGGCCAGTGGCAGCAGCGTGAGCGCTAATTGAGCAGCTTGACTCATTCTTGTGACCTTACCCCATGGTCTACTCTCTCAACCCTGGTGCCAGGAAAAACATGGCCTTGGCCTTGCTTCAAGCATTCGTCTGCGTTAAGTATCCAGACGCTAGCCAGTCACCTGGTGCGCAGGAAGGGCATAGCCACCAGCAGTAGAGCCAGCTGGAGCAATGTGAGCGCCACGATGAGCAGCTTGACTCACCATAGCTATGCCACTTTCTTTTTAGTCCCTAGCTACCACTCACCGGGTGCGCAGGAAGGGCATGGCCACCCCGGCCACGGTGGCCACCAGCAGTAGAGCCAGCTGCAGCAGCGTCAGCGCCACGTTGAGCAGCTTGACGAGCAGCAGGCGCGGCGGGAGTGCGGCGGCGCCGCCGGTGTCGCCGCCGCCGCCCGCCACGCCGCCGCCGCCGCCGCCCGCCATCCATTGCTCTAGTTTGCTAATCTGGAGTTGGGAAGATATTTTTGCAATCACTGAAGAACTGACGCACATTTGACGAGCTGTCTAAATTCTTCATCATCACTATCAGAGTAAATACAAATGAGTAGGTCATCTTCATAGAAACGCACGGGCGCGGTTTGTATGTGAGCGCGCCAACACGTATGCGGCGCGCACGCAACCACTGACAAAATTTAGCGGGGATTAGCGAGGAGCCAGTCGTGGTTGCGCTGAAGATGACCTACTCATTTGTATTTACTCTGCATTTAACGAGCTTTCTAAACTCTTCATTATCACTATCCAATGTTGAACTGTTGACCAATGTTGTATGCCCGCCCCAATGATTTCCACAATGGCCGGTTGGTAGCGGCCTGCGCCTTCCTGCTACCTTTATGAGGTCGTCGATCTTTCTGCTACGCAGCGCTATCCGGTACATGGCCTCAACTTCAGAGCCTTGCTGCCCCATCGGCCGTCAGTTCTGCGTACTATGTGCCCTCCCCATTGCCACTTCAGCCTGTCTAAACACTGTAGCTAAAGTACACACGGCCACAGTGTTAACTATCCATTTTCGTTTTTGGTCTCGCTGTCATCAAATGGTGATTCTTTGCGATAGAGCGAGACGACATGACCGGCAATGAGTAGTTAATACTGTTGCCGATATCATGATCTATGAAGTTACTTTTTCCCCGACTCAATTGATTTTTTATAGGTACGCTTAACCAAACCAGCTGCAGCGCTTGAGTGCCTGAGGGTGTTTTTATCCCGTGCTACTCCAATACTTCAAGTACTAACTGACTCAGTTATGCGCTAAATTTATAACAATACTGTTACATAAGTAAATAGGTAGTTATTAATTAGATTACATCTAAAACGAAAGAATGCCTACTGAAAAGGCAATGGGGCAACAAGATCATAATTTGGCGCTCAAGTATTTCACAACTACATTAGGTACCTACAAACGAAGAATGAGGATATTACATTTACAGTCAAGAAAACACTCACTTTAGTCTGGCAGAGGTCGAGCGCTTCGTGGATGTCTCGTATCCGCTCCTCGCTCTGGTATTGCACTTTCTCTTCTACGTCAGTCAACGCTTGCTTTAAATTTTCCACCTAAAAACAAAACGTGGCTACTATTATAATTTTTTGTACACATGACTAATTAAGGGTGGATTGGACCAAACGAGTAAATATTAATCTCAGAATAAATCGTCAGTTTTGACTGTTAAAATGGCAGTTTAACTTTCCTCCGGTACAAACTTCACCGCAGTGGCGGATTTACCAATAGGCCAAGTAGGCCAGTGCCTAGGGCGGCAGATTTAGAGGGGCGGCAAATTTGGCTAATTTTTTTTACAGGAAAAAAATATATAATTATACGTATACCTACACAATCCATATATAAATAAACGATTAATAAACGCACTGTAATATATACTTAGGTACTTATATGATCATGAATTTTAAAATATTCCAATAGCGTTTCAATAAAAATAAAATAAAAAACTCGTAACACAGGATCTTCGGAGCCTAGCACGAGCACCATCTCTCCACAACTTCGTGTATATTGTTTTACAGGGTGGCCCAGAAGAAAATTCACTTTTGAAAATTCAAGGAAACGAAAACTGTACACTTAAGCTATTGCAATTTAAAGGAAATTTAGTGCAATTTATATTAAAATTTACTATGTTTTATAAATTTTATCGTACATGTGATTCCCTTGACGTTTACAACATTCGGTCAACATACCTACATCAACATTTTGGAAAACTTTTGTAAGCGCTCCTGCACACGATGCCGCTACCGCGCCGCCGCCGCGCCGTCGCCGCGCCTTTGCACTGTTTATACGCGCCGCGTGAACACCGCTGCCGCGCAACCGCCGCGCTGCCACCGCGCCGCGCGCGACATTATGCTTTGATGGCGCGGTGGCGGCGCGGCGGCGGTTTTACTCGGTGCGTATGAACAGTGTAGCGGCGCGGCGACGGCGCGGTGGCGGCGTCGTGTGCAGGAGCCCTTAGGCCTCAGCCTCGAGTTTAGCGGGCAGCGGGGCGGGAGCGGCGGCGGGGCGGGCAACGCAGACCCGTTCTCGAAACAAGCGGGCAGCTCGCGCGGCGCTTTAGCGGCGAAGTGTTGTGTTCGGGGTTGTGTTGTCGAGATATTTGTTTTTATTCGCAAACGAAATGTCTGAACAACGGCGACCATTTTATTTCGATTCAAATTTATTCCTAACGCTCGATTTATTGTGGGCAAAAAAAGGAGTCCGCTGCCCGCTCCCTCGCCGCTGCCCGCTCGTTGCCCGCTCCGGCGCCGCTGNAGATACTGTAACTTACATTGTGGCCATGAGTGAATGTAACAAAAATATGAGACGAACTAATAGATGGCTGACATTCAAAACCCTTGGCCAGCATTTCAACAAATCAAGTTGTTTAAAAACACATATTATAATATTTAAACCAAAGAAATACTTTATCCTCCAGGAAACTTTTTATTGCATTTTTTATATCCAAAATCTCAATACTCAATAAGTTTATTGCTTCCAAATCTGTATTAATAATGCAAGGACCCCAAAACATATTGATAGTTTCATTAATAAGACCAATCACATACATCTGAATCTTTTTAACCGACTTCATTTTGACAGTAAATTATAAGCATGTCCCAACGCGTGTATTGTGTTATAATTTTAGATCGTAACCGTCCAAGGCTCCTGAATGTCACCCATTACATTCCCAACACCGTTATTATTCATATATTTCTAGCTTATTCTGAAATCAACTGTTAGTTTTCTACCTGGACCTGTAACGCTACATCTGAGTGGGCGGGGCTTATGCTGTACGTCATAGAGTGCGAACGGACGGAAATGATTATAAAGGACAGATGTTACACTACGATCTAAGTTTCACGGAATAAACGTCATATTTTATTTTTTGACAGCGATTTGACAGACTGTCGAAACAAAAATTTTAGGCAAAGAGACATTTGACTGTATTAAAAAAAGGTTTAAGGCAATTTGTTAAGTAAAGATTTGCAGATCGCCATCGCTGGCGCGATCATAGGCCAACGACGACCCATGACAGTTCACGCGATCTGTCATTGGCCTATGCTGCTGTCAGAAATAGCCCGCCAAAGGCGTTTGCCTTGACAGGGCGCGACCACTCTTGAAATCGATGACATTTTTTGACGTCCTCAAGTAATTTTTTATTTAAAAAAATATTATTGCTATAGACCATAGAAAATTACATAATGTAACGATCGTTTTGACATATGATATACAACATAATCCCGCCACACCACCCCTCTTGTCACATAAGGCAAACGTGAATAGTCGGGCAGTAACCGCTGAGTAACGAGTTAATGCTGAGGAAATGGCAGGGCACTTGCGCAATATTACCTACTCCCTCATTTCTCCCTGTCACTTATCATTCACCCTGACACGTGACAATGCAGGTGTCATTCACCCTGTCACGTGGCAATGCACGTGTCATGCCTCTTGCCACGTGACAACAGTACGTGTCATTCCTCCCTGTCACGTGTCATTCACCCTGTCGCGTGACATGCAGGTATCATTCCCCCTGTCACGTGACAATGCAGGTGTCATTCGTCCTGTCACGTGACAATGCACGTGTCATTCACCCGTCACGTGACAACACACGTGTCTATCCTCTGTCACGTAACAGAGCACGTGTCATTCTCCCTGTCACGTGACAATGCACGTGTCATTCACCCGTCACGTGACAACACACGTGTCACTCCCCTGTCTCGTAACAGAGCACGTGTCATTCTCCCTGTCACGTGATAATGCATGAATCATTCGTCCCCTGTCACGTGACGATGCACGTGTCATACACCCTGTCACGTGACAATGCGCTTGCTATTCCTCTCTGTCATGTGACAACACACGTGTCATCCCCTGTCACGTGACAGAGCACGTGTCATTCCCTCTCCCCTCAGCAGGTACCGCCCTCCCCCCGTCCGCCCATTACCTGTCGTGGCGCGAGTCGAGGATGTACTCCTTGAGGCGGCGCACCAGCGCTTCCGACAGCTGCGTGACCTCCGGCCATTGCTTCAGCACCATAACACCCACCATTACTGCCAGGCTTGTGGTTAGCACGCGCACTCTGGGAAGTTAAGGCATTCGTTTAGTAACGGGGTATAGTAGAAAATGTAGGGGAAAATAGGGAGTCTCGATTACTAGACAGAGAAAGAGAGATCTCAGACTAGCTGTCAATCTGTAATAGAATGTCATTTTATTTAGAATCTATTTAAGATAGAATAAATTATTTTAATTTCAACATTTTCTTGATTCTAACACTGAGATTATCTGTAGAAGTGTTGAGATTGAAGTTCTTTAAGGGACAAAAGGCTCAATCAAGGTCAAGACATGATGAGTATCATCTGTTAGCTCCTATGAGCATCATTACATGGTCTTTATATCCCATAATTCCTTTAAACACGATCTCACGGCCGTATAAGCTCTAATAAATGGTCTCAAAAAACACTTTCTGATGTTCCTAAGAACAACAATTTATGAAAGGCATCACGAAAAAACGAAAGCCAATAACTGGCCCTAACGAGTATCATGAACCATGGCCTCTGGAGCGTTAGCCCACCTCATGGCCCCTATGAGCACTCTTTCACGTTGCATATTGGAGCGGTTCTTATAAAGCGCCATCTCACCTATCTATGCACTCAGCCCGACGACGGTGCCTACCAGCAGCAAGGCCAGAAGCAGTAATATAAGCGCCACGTTGAGCAGCTTGACTCACCCTACATCCATAGCTATGCCACTTTCTTTTTAGTCCCTAGCTACCACTCACCTGATGCGTATGAAAGGCATGACAATAGCAAGGTCGTGGCAGCAGCGTGAGCGCTAATGAGAAGCTTGACTCACTCTTGTGGCCTAACCAGATAGTGTATCTTCTATCTTACCTCTAGCCCAGTGGTTCTTAACCTCTAAGTCATGAGGGACCATTTTACCAATTTCTGTTTTGTCAGGGACCAATTTGTTTTTTTTTTTTAAATCCTATTATAGGGAAGATTGATTTCTCGCCCACTGTGCGCCGTTTGCGTTATGTTTACTCGACTCATCACGTCACATCACTTGTTTATTACGATGTCTTCGTGGACCACTTGGAATGCCTCCAGGGACCACCAGTGGTCCGCGGACCACCGGTTAAGAACCACTGCTCGAGCCACTCACCTGGTGCGCAGGAAGGGCATGGCCACCCCAGCCACAGTGGCCACCAGCAGTAGGGCCAGCTGGAGCAATGTGAGCGCCACGTTGAGCAGCTTGACGAGCAGCAGGCGCGGCGGGAGCGCGGCCGCCTGGACAGATGCCGGACGCGAGCCACTCACCTGGTGCGCAGGAAGGGCATGGCCACCCCAGCCACGGTGGCCACCAGCAGTAGGGCCAGCTGGAGCAATGTGAGCGCCACGTTGAGCAGCTTGACGAGCAGCAGGCGCGGCGGGAGCGCGGCCGCCTGGACAGATGCCGGACGCCAGCCACTCACCTGGTGCGCGGGAAGGGCATGGCCACGCCAACCAAGACTATCAATAGCAAGTCCACTTGCAGCAGTGTGAGCGCCACGTTGAGCAGTTTGACAACTCACTCTAGTAGCCCTAAAGCACAATATCACCTATAGCTAGTCTCTAGCTATTCACTTGATCACTTCATCATCATCATCATGTCAGTCACAGGACGTCTACAGCTGAACATAGGCCTCTCCTAATAATTTTCCGTTAGCATCCAGCGACCGGAAACTTTTATGGGATTATCTGTATACTTTGCGGTACGTAGCCTTCATTGCTTTTTGCGTGGAATAGGACGAAAAGATGTTGTGTTAAGCAGGACAGGCATGGCCACTCCAGTCACGGTCGTTACCAGTAATAAAACCACTTGTGGCCCTTCCTATGGCCACTATAAGCGCCATCATACTTTACCATCCTCGAGCCACTCACCGGGTGCGCAGGAAGGGCATGGCCACCCCGGCGACAGTAGCCACCAGCAGTAGGGCCAGCTGCAGCAATGTAAGCGCCATTTTGAGCAGCTTGATGACTCACTCTTGTGGGCCCATTCTACCATATAACCTGTACATCCTCTAGCCCAGTGGTTTTTAACCGGTGGTCCGCGGACCACTGGTGGTCCCTGGAGGCATTTCAAGTGGTCCACGAAGTGCACTTGCACACCTTGGTCAAAACCACTTTCAACTGATTTTTGTAGTCAAACTGGTTTACTTTTAACTGATTATGATTATGAGGTGTTCCCTGACAAGACAGAAATTTAGTAAAATGGTCCCATTATGATTTAAAGGTTAAGAACAACTGCTGTAGTCACTCACCTGGTGCGCAGGAAGGGCATGGCCACCCCGGCCACAGTGGCCACCAGCAGTAGAGCCAGCTGCAGCAGCGTCAGCGCCACGTTGAGCAGCTTGACGCACCATACCTATGCCACTATCTTTTAACTTCCTAGCACCTGGTGCGTATGAAAGGCATCGGCACTATTATGAAAGGCATGACAATAGCAAGGCCAGTGGCAGCAGCGTGAGCGCTAATTGAGCAGCTTGACTCATTCTTGTGACCTTACCCCATGGTCTACTCTCTCAACCCTGGTGTACAGGAAAAACATGGCCTTGGCCTTGCTTCAAGCATTCGTCTGCGTTAAGTATCCAGACGCTAGCCACTCACCTGGTGCGCAGGAAGGGCATGGCCACCAGCAGTAGAGCCAGCTGGAGCAATGTGAGCGCCACGATGAGCAGCTTGACTCACCATAGCTATGCCACTTTCTTTTTAGTCCCTAGCTACCACTCACCGGGTGCGCAGGAAGGGCATGGCCACCCCGGCCACCGTGGCCACCAGCAGTAGGGCCAGCTGCAGCAATGTGAGCGCCACGTTGAGCAGCTTGACGAGCAGCAGGCGCGGCGGGAGCGCGGCCGCCTGGACAGATGCCGGACGCGAGCCACTCACCTGGTGCGCAGGAAGGGCATGGCCACCCCAGCCACGGTGGCCACCAGCAGTAGGGCCAGCTGGAGCAATGTGAGCGCCACGTTGAGCAGCTTGACGAGCAGCAGGCGCGGCGGGAGCGCGGCGGCGCCGCCGGTGTCGCCGCCGCCGCCCGCCACGCCGCCGCCGCCGCCGCCTGCCATCCATTGCTCTAGTTTGCTAATCTGGAGTTTGAAAGATATTTTATTTTATTTGTTTAACAATGTTTCAACAGCATTAAATCTATATATATAAAAATGAAACCCGTTTCGCGTTGTCACGGCATCACGTGTGAACGGCTGAACCGATTTCGATAATTCTTTTTTTTAAATGTTTGTGGAAGTCCAAGGATGGTTCTTACGGAAAAAAATATTAAGAAAATCTCTACGCTAGCTCTAAGGCGGTACGAAGTTCGCCGGGTCAGCTAGTTGTACATAAATGTGCAGGAAGATACAACTTGAACATAAGCCAATTAAAGAAACACATTCTATTACTAAAACCAGGCCTGTTCATCTCCGCGAGTTTACATCGAAAACAAAACACGCACAATGGCCCACCTACAGGATACTATTCGACAAGGCCTCACATACGAGCGAACATTGACTCACGCACGCGTATTCTTGTGTATGATGGAAGAAAATAAAGAAAATGGTGTACTAAATACTGTGCAGTATTTAACTGCCTAAATAATAATAAAAACACAGAATGTATTTTTATAAGTTGCCTCAAGATACTGAGAGGTAAATAAGTAGTTAATATTATTCATGATAATTTGTATTTCTTCCGCCATTTTCCGCAGTTTAGCACCTCACGTCACATCATTTTACCGAAGTCAGCCCTATAGCTTCGGCGCAGTGCCGATCACTGACGTTTGTCAACAAAATGGTGCTTGACTCTAGAGACAGGCTAAATTACACCATATTGTTAATGACATTGAGCATACATTTTTTTAAATACCTTCGCGAAGTAAAACTTCTGTACGTACTACTTATTATTATTCTGTGCTAAAACATTTATTTATTATTGAAATCACTGTAGAACGTACAAAAAATTGTTTTATGCCCATTTTTCACCATCAATCCCTAATTTTTAAGTGACCCCTATGACCACAAAACTCTTGTTAATTGTTACCATAGGGGTCACTGAAATATTAGGGATTGATGGTGAAAACGGGCATTAAACTTTCATGGTCACTAACGTAATTATTGTTACTGACGGGACGCAATTTTCCTGTTACACCGTGACCATGGTGCTTGCAACAGTGCCGGAATATCGGAAACTGAAAATTAAGGTACATGGTAGCAATCCCGTCAGTAATAATAATTGACGTGCATTTAACGAGCTGTCTAAGCTCTTCATCGTCACTATCCAATGTTGAACATATGCCCGCCCTAATGATTTTCATAGTGGCCGGTTGGTAGGGGCCTGCATCCAGCGCCTTCCTGCTACCTTTATGAGTTCGTCGATCTTCTTGCTACGCTGCGCCCTCCGGTACGTGGCCTCCACTCCAGAGCCTTGCTGCCCCATCGGCCGTCAGTTCTGCGTACTATGTGCCCTCCCCATTGCCACTTCAGCCTGTCTAAACACTGTAGCTAAAGTACACACGGCCACAGTGTTAACTATCCATTTTCGTTTTTGGTCTCGCTGTCATCAAATGGTGATTCTTTGCGATAGAGCGAGACGACATGACCGGCAATGAGTAGTTAATATTGTTGCCGATATCATGATCTATGAAGTTACTTTTTCCCCGACTCAATTGATTTTTTATAGGTACGCTTAACCAAACCAGCTGCAGCGCTTGAGTGCCTGAGGGTGTTTTTATCCCGTGCTACTCCAATACTTCAAGTACTATCTGACTCAGTTATGCGCTAAATTTATAACAATACGAGTATATAAGTAGTTAGGTAGTTATTAATTAAATAGATTACATATATCGAAAACGAAAGAATGCCTACTGAAAAGGCAATGGGGCAACAAGATCATAATTTGGCGCTCAAGTATTTCACAACTACATTAGGTACCTACAAACGAAGAATGAGGATATTACAGTCAAGAAAACACTCACTTTAGTCTGGCAGAGGTCGAGCGCTTCGTGGATATCTCGTATCCGCTCCTCGCTCTGGTATTGCACTTTCTCTTCTACGTCAGTCAACGCTTGTTTTAAATTTTCCACCTGAAGACAAAACAAGGCTAAGAATGTAGGGTATGGTGATCTATTCTCGAGAAGCAGGATTTTTGTACACATGGTTAATTTAGTCACTTTGCCTAACTGTAAGCTGCGCTTACGCATCGTACAAATACGGTCCACAGACTCCGAAGTCTGTAAGGATATGTAGTGGCGTATCATCCACCTTAGGCCCGGCCTCAACCAAGGCGGAGCGGAGCGGAGATGTGTTTTGAATAACCAATCAGATTTAATTATTTCCACCGCCACCGCTGACAAAATTTTGTTCGCCCGACACATCTCTCCGCTCCACCTTGGTGGAAAGCCGTTCTTGATTCGGACAGTCGCAATGTTCAGTAAGGGCTCGAACTAGGACGCGCATTTTGGTTCTACTCAGTCATTGAGATCTGCTATATTACCACCTTATTTTAACCGTGACTATAATAATAACCAGTGTTTTTATATGAAGTTTGACTTAGACTTTTGACCTTTGTTAAAGTAAAATAACCAGCCTAAAAATAGAAGATAATATTATACCTACCTCGTTTTGGTGTAGTTCAGTGAGATCATTGATTTGCTCCTCTAGCCGCTCCGTCTTGAAGCGTTCTTCCTGAAGCGCGGCCGATAGGAATGACACCTCTTGTGACAAGTTCTGTAAGGAGAGCAATAGGTAAATTGACATTTGAATCATAATAAAATCAACTGCTTCTATCGTAAACCGTATGAACCAATATGGACATTTGACACGACTCTGTAAAAACCATCGCAGCACTAGATTCATTTATGGTAGGGCATTTACCCCTAAGGGGTGTGGAGAAGGGATCGCAGATGTCGTTCTGAGCTTTTGGGTACTCAAGGTTATACACGACTTTTAGGTATACTTTGGATGGCTTTATTAATATTAGTAAGGCAAAAGAATTCCTACCGGAAGGTGAAAGAAGCATAAAGTGGCACATTAAATACAAGCGTCAAACCACATGTGCATGGAGTTACAGTGGTGGGAATAGTCCCGTCAAAAACCACATGTGCTGGTAGGGTCCCATTGCAATGGGCATCGCGATTTCGACAAGGTGGCGAACTGCTTCTATTTCTATATTCATGTTTTTTTGCGTTGCTGTTGTGTTTTTATGAGCCTATTTGTGTTTGTAGGACGGCCGAATGTGATATAGGTACGTTGTTTTCTTTCTTTCTTCCAATGGGGATGTTGCCTGGGTCAAAAAGCAAGAGTTTTAATTAGTCCGTCATTTAACTTATCAAAAAATACTCTACACGTATTTTTCACTTTTTCAAACTAATGAAAATTTAAAGAGATAAAGCGCCCCAAAGTTCATAAGAAGAGGCCCGTGACGTCAACGCTTGCTTAAAAATGCCGCACGTTGTGACGTCGTGCGCAACTTCAACGCACCATAACTATGTAATTATTTGTTAGATTGACAAATAAAAATATATGTGTCCAATATTTTTTGATATTAAACATTACGGACTAAAAAAATTTTTTTAGGCAACTAGCTTACCTTGAGCGCGTCAATCTTCTCGGCCAGTCGCTCGTAGTCCTCGCGGCGCTCGCGCAGTTCGTTGAGTATCGGCTTGATCGTGAACGTTGCTTCAGAGATGTTGTTGGAACCGCTTTGCGTCGGGTATCTGGTAAAGAAGGATTATTATCTTCATGTCATTTAGTCTACATTGAAGGATCTAACTAACCACAGGCGATGGGAGTGTGTGATTCCAACGGGTTGGGGACGCAAAGTAAAGATAAAATTATCATTTGAATATCAATGACAATTAGCGTTTTCGCTTTTCGCTAGATGAAAGTTCACTGGTAAGCGGAAGATTGGATTAAAATGAATCAGTGACCGTTTGATTGAGGCATATCAGACTATAATGTCATCTTTTATCTCTAATACCAGACCTGAAACGGGCGATACGTGTACCTCGTTTTGGTGACGTGCTGCTTGAAGGATCAGCCAGAGCTTTATGATATAGCGCTCTAGTCAGCAACAGATCATCTTCTTTTCGTGTCGACAGCAAACCTACACAGTGTCAGCCCAAAACTCCGCCACAAAAGTGGCGTTGTCAGCAGCACTCATCAAATCCTCCTGAGTGCAGTTGCTTGGGCACTCAGGACACAACATCAGGTGCTTCATCGACTGGGGAACAAAACCGCACCTGCACTCCATGTTTAAGCCATCCAAGAATCCCCACCTGACCAGACTGTCCTTACTACGGCCAACCTGCGTCCGAAGTCTATTTAAAGACTTCCAGGTGAGCCAGTGGAGCAACAGATGATGCCTCTGTTACTATTGATGTACTTACGGCGCTCTCTCGCTGGTACCGGACGAGCTGGGCGAGGCGTCGGGCGAGTACTTGGGTGCGCGGCATTCCACCACCACCCATGGCCATTCCAACCTTCCGGTTATAACTGGCCGAATCGCGGGAGATGCGTGCGTAACTGCGTCTGCCGTGGCAGGTTGCACTCTCCTGCGCGCAATGCTTGATTCCCTACAAGTTCTTTGATCTAGTCCTTGTCCCTATGGAGCGACTCTCCCCGTTATGTCAAAGTCAAAGTCAAAATTTCTTTATTTGTTTAGACTAATAAATAGTTCTTACAAATCGTCATTTTGCTCTTAAGGAGCCTCTACATGTCTCATAATCTTTTTACCCTACCAGCGCTTCGAGACCAACATTTGGCAAGTGCTGAGAAGAAGCGCCGCAACAATATAGGGACAAGGACTGCCTCTATGGGGCTGCTACTCCTCGTTTCGTGTTAGTATCAGCCCCAGAACTATGGCGCCGAACTGTTCGGGGCTGTTCGTCACTCATGCCACTTGTACGCAAACGCCTTGAGCCGGTCGATAGGGGTACGTTTCCAGCACGATTCCCTGCAGCAGCTCCCCACGAATATCCCTATAAAGGGGACAGTACCACAATATGTGGTGACGGTCCTCCTCGAGCTCCCCATATCCACACACACATCATCCCTTAACTCCATGTTGCACAGCCGCTTATTAAAGCAGCTATGCCCTCTAAGTACCTGGGAAGTTACATAATCTGGTGCGACCCAGCGCATGCTGAGTCTCCCAGACGTCGGGGAAGAACTGGCTGAGCTCACGACCCTTCATCTCTCCCTCCCACCTGGTCTGCCAAGTATGCACAGCCGACTCCAAAATTTCTGCGCGGTACCACAGAATAATAATAAGTACTACGTACAGAAGTTTTACTTCGCGAAGGTATTTAAAAAAATGTATGCTCAATGTCATTAACAATATGGTGTAATTTTGCCTGTCTCAAGAGTCAAGCACCATTTTGTTGACAAAAGTCAATGATCGGCATTGCGCCGAAGCTATAGGGCTGACTTCGGTAAAATTATGTGACGTGAGGTGCCAAACTGCGGAAAATGGCGGAGGAAATACATGATTTAGCATGAATTATCATGAATAATATTGACTACTTATTTCTCTCAGTATCTTGAGGTAACTTAAAAAAGTACATTCTGTGTTTTTATTATTATTTAGGCAGTTAAATGCTGCACAATATTTAGTACACCATTTTCTTTATTTTCTTCCATCATACACAAGAATACGCGTGCGTGAGTCAATGTTCGCTCGTATGTGAGGTCTTGTCGAATAGTATCCTGTAGGTGGGCCATCGTGGGTGTTTTGTTTTCGATGTAAACTCGCGGAGATGAACAGGCCTGGTAGTAGTTATTATTATTCTGTGGCGGTACTTACGGCGCTCCCTCGCTGGTGACGGAGGAGCTGGGCGAGGCGTCGGGCGAGTACTTGGGCGCGGGGGAGGTGGCCGCGCGGGGCAGGGTGGAGCCGCGCGGAGCGTTGGCCTCGCCGGCCTCGGACGCGCGCGAGCCTTCCGACGACGCGTTCGCTGCCGTTGTAGGAACACTCAATACGAGGATATGGTAGTGGGAGAGCAACAATAAACTGAGTAATTGACACCACCAATCGATTAACGTTTGCCCCTCCCCCTTGATTAATAAACAAAAGGAATCTATGACGTTAGGGCTACAAAGATGTGCTTTTTTTTAGAAAGTAGTGTCAACTACTCAATGTAGTCAGTAGAATTAATAAATGTCGTTGCTCTTGAATGAAAACAATTTATTTAGGTTCTTTATCAAACCAAGATGTTTTTTTTTAAGTTCGCTATATGATTCAATTCTGTAAGTGAAATTTTGTGAAAATTTAACATTTTACTTAAAATGCGTTTGCGCAGGTCAGAACTAAGATTGAAAAAGTATTTGATCAAATTTTGATAAATATCGATTTACTCGTTTTAAATAAATTTTAATATTTGACAAAGGCAATCCAAATCATGTAAAAAAAAGCTTAGCGTGTAACAAGCACACATAATAATTTATGTCAATCTCACAGAAGACATATAAAACTCTCATTGTGTATTACAATAGTGATGCAGCAACTATTTACCTCTCAGTTCCGCGTGTTGTGGGGCTAGCGTGCAAGAAGGAGACAGCATGATAAGCAACAATTCACATATTGCATTTACAAAGTATTGCATGTGACATTCACAAGGTTCAAGTTCGTAATGGTTTTAATAAAAGTAGGTATTTTAGATTTTTTCAAACAAGCATTTTTAACAGATAAATTGCAGCATAACTAACTCTTTTTAATGCATTTCTTCTGATAAACAATGCTTATTTTATACTATGTAAAGAGTATTTTAAAACAGTTGTAACTACTCGTATAAGCGAAGGTGATGTAAAGGTGTAAATATACATGTTTACTAACTAACTTTTACGTCACATTATGTACACGGGCACTGCAGAAGTAGTCTTTATTTTGTGAGTAATGAGCGGTCTGAAGTACAATGTGTTAGAGATGATGTGAATATTGTTTCTATCAAAAAAAAAATAGAAAAAGATAGAATACTATTATAAAGCTTATTCTCGCGAAATAACGAAGTCTATGAAATCTATACTAATAAGATAGGTAAATGCGAAAGTTTCTGTGAATGGATTGATGTTTGTTTTCACGAAAAACTACTGCACTGATTTTGATGAAACTTACAATGTAGCTATAAAAACAGGCTAAATTATCCATATCTACTTAGAGTAAGTCGTAAACACTAAACCGATACACCAAATGATCATATAACATTTAACAATAAATATTTACACTTTTTCCTGCATTTTCTGCACTTTCTAAACAACATTATCTATTATCCACACACATTATTGCACGACAAATCGCTCGCAACTAGAAATATGAAGTAAATATTCTGACACTTTGAAAGAATTACGTAAATATGTACTTGGGTTATTCTGAATAGATAAGATAGTGTCGATAGAAGTCGACATACGAAATAACCTTAGTTTGATATTAATTCGGTGTCTGTCAAACCTATTAATTTTAATATTAATATGAGTAATTAAATAGCATATTTATACGTGAGTATAACGAACACGCTAACTGACATCATTTTGATCAATTAATTTTGTGTTGTATCACACAATTTAATTCACTTTAAAAATATTTTTGTGCAATAATAATGATGAAATGTTTTTTCGTATAACGATACGAATAATGAAAAAATGTTGTCAATGAGCATACTTATTGTAGCTGTACTTTAAAAGTTATAAAACTTAAAAGTGAAGTAGGAATTCATTACTTTGCTATTATTATGTAACTCTGTATTTTTAAATTTGAAAACTACAAGTCAAAATAGAAGTTTAAACCTGATAAATTATTCTCTCATCAAAGACGAAAAACTTAGTAAAAAATCTCCTACATGTAAGCGGATGTAATTTTCTGACTTAGCATGAGAATGGCCCAAGCAAAACAAATGACTAACGCGACATTGAGTGACACTATCTCGCGTGTTGCGACGGTAATCTTCAAACTAATCGCCGTTTTTTACACTACAAGTTTATTGTGGAAACACAAACTCTGTATTTTTAGCGCACTTGCGTGATTAACGTGCATAAGTCAAATAATGTGATCGCAATTTTAATGTTCATCATTAATTAGCTAATAAATCGTCTTTGCATAATTTAAAACAGGTAAATACTTTTTGTGTGAACTTAAACATGAGCGACTTAATGCTTCTAAATAAATATCTAAGAATTTGTAAGGTGCTTTTCTGCTGGGTTAAAAGTTTAGATAATAGATATAAATAAATGTTATTGAGATATAATATTAATATTACATATTTGTACAAAAACTTCATGGGGCGTGTGTTAGAGGACAGTAGTGTTTATTTATTAGAAAAGTAGTGTATATTTAGTAATATCGTGTTTTGTTATTTTGCAAAATAAAACATATTTATCATAAGTACTAAGAGTGCTATTATAAGTTTAAATTGTGAGAAGAATAGTTATAAAAATTCCATCACCATTCAACAAATGTTCGTACTTAAAACAGTGAAATTGATCAATAGTGAGTATTTAAATAAATTTTAGTAGTGTTAAAAGTGCTTTAAAATTTAACTAACAGTGACAGTCGACCGGAAGATAACTATTATTTCTAAAAACAGTCCGACTAAAAACTAAAATATGGCTCTACGAAACCTCATACCCTATTTCTATGGAAGTATAATAATATGTACTTTCTTAGTAACTAATAATCACTAACTTTCAAACTCTAAACTAATGTAGGATTATTTAGCGTTAACTAATGTTTCCGGCCGATGAAAAGTAACTGTTATAAATATTAGTGATATAGCCACTCTAAAACGAATACTCACAAGGGCCCGTGTTCTCTGTGACAAAATAAATACATACATTTATAAAATAGAAAATATATCTATGGCTAATTAAAATATAAATAATATAATATGAGAGCTATAATATATTTTAATGTATATTATCGTAATTTATATCTTTTTTTAGCACATATTTTAAATTAATAGACATCTGAAAGATAATAATGCAAAAAGCCCTTAAGCTGCTTAGCACATAGACTAAAATAATATATTTGTTGGCAAAATTACACAAAAAAGCCGTCTGAATTGAGTATGTATTTTTTGCAGTACACAATACGAATACATAAATATAAAAGTAGGTATAAATAAATGTAGTTAAGCAATTACTGAAGTGTGTATTGTATTGGTTATGTAATAATTTTGGAGTAGTGGTGGTAGGGCAAGTTATATTTGAGACGTGTCCAAGTTCCTTAAAAAGAGCCTAATAAAATAATATTAGCAAAGAATTTGACTTTGAAATTATGAAACTGTATGATTTTAGCAGTCACTATCTGCACAAAATTGGTAGGTACTCAACTTTTTAGTTTTTGAACCTTAACCAAAATAATGTGTAGCCAATTTGAGTTTACTCTCAAAAAGTCAAACATGCATATGGGTTGACTTTGAGTTTGATCTAATTCATAACTAAAGCCCGGTCCGTGAGTACGTAGAATTTTGTCCAATGACCCCTAGCTACCCATCCTTATCGCTCGCGCGTAATTATATTGCTGTCGCGACTGTGCGACGGGCGCCCGCAGTGAGTGTGCGAGCGCGATAGCAACATAATTACGCGCGAGCAATAAGGATGGGTAGCTAGGGGTCATTGGACAAAATTCTACTAGGACCAGACTATAGACCGTTATGCTTGTTGGACTTTTTTAGAGATAGACCTTAATATTATGCTATTAAAGTGTTTTTAATATCGTGCGGTTTTCATCACGCACGCGGGATTCGCGTTCCCCCCTGTGTGCGTATTCTATGCATTACAATGCTTACTTGTATGAAAAGGACACTTGCGGTTGTCACGCATGCGTGGCAATCCCGCGTGCAAAGTGAATAGGGTATTTGCCACCACTAATCAACTGACGTACTTTTTAAAACTGTCAAAACGAGACACTCCCATAGATTTTGTATGGCCGCTAGCCACTATTTTGTCAATTCAATGAGGGTTTTCGCGTATGAAAAATCCGCCAGATGGCAATACGTAGACGCGAGGTCCAAATGCTACATGATTGGTTATTTTTGACATGACATTGACAGATATGTCGAAATCCACCAATCGGGATGGTGGATGTGAGGTCGCAGCAGTCAGACCCCACATCCACGTCCCGCCATCTAGCGGATCTTTCATATGCGAAAACCCTCATTAAACTACTTTTTTCAATTACAATGCAACCAAAAATCTTATTTTACAGATAGTTAAAATTAATTATGTTTTTAAGACCAGAGAATGAAGTGCCTTTTTAAAATAGTTGTGCTTTAGAATTATTAGGGAGTGGTGGCAAATACCCAATCCTGCATGATATTAAAAACATCTTTAGAGTAGGCGCACACCGTTGATTTTTCGTCGGCCGATAGTTTAGTCGGGCAGTTGATCAGTACGGGCATGTATGGGAGTGCGCACACTACGCCGATTCGATTTGGCCGATTCTTCATACAATTTAAAATCGGGCACAACTATCGGCCAACTAAAAATCAACGGTGTGCGCCTACTCTTAATCGTAGGGACCTATCCCGTGACCTATTAAGCTGTCAAAGTGAATGATAATTGTTAACAAACTGAAAGTCACCCACCGGCCAGCTGCGCGATGTTATCGGCCGATCCGAAGCGGTTGGACCGCGAGAAGAGATGTGCGAACTCCCGCGGCGCCGCCATTACGCTTCCTCCGAGACCCGTGATGCCGTCACGAATGTTGCCGCCCACGTTTCTGTGCAACAAGTGGTTTGGAGGTTATGGTCGTTAAGAGTTAGAGGCATAGACAGTTTTTTTTTTATAAAAAACTATATTTTTAGTATATTTCGGGTAAACCCACGTTCCTTTCTTTCACCATTCGGCTATCGTGGCTTCAAAACGTGCTTTGAACTTTATGGTCATCAACATTCAGTCAAAGCTGTGATACATAGACTAAAGTGCTTGGGACTTTATAGTCATTAACAGTAACAGATATACTAGAAAGAATTATTATTATTATTTTATTCCCCAGGTGTCTTTTTAACTAGGAGGGATCTATCGCATCATCATATCACCCACTCTAATTTATCGAGGCACATAGAGATTTTGGTCCACATTTGTATTTTTCAACAGAGCAAAAATAAATATAACTACGTTCAGAAAGCACGTTAAGGCTTGGTATTTCTGCTAAAGTAGGTATTTCACGCTGTCAAAATCTGCGCGCGCAATTCTTCGCCGAAGACAGCGCGCCAAAGAGCTCCCGCCACAATTTCCAGCTACATAGTATAGAAATACGCAGTTGATTAGGTTAGGTCGACTTCCTTCCCTTCAAGCATCACACTCACAACACTTTCTAATACAAATCATATCCAAGTGATACAAATTGAAACACCTTACAGACTTTTTGGGAATATATTCTAGAATCGAATAAATATGAAATATAACTGCAGAAGTAAACACGGTTCAAAGTGGCCGTGGCGTCGCCTGACCTTCTGGAAGTTCTGCGCCGGCTTAAAGAATTTCAAGATTACGTCACCCGACCTATCGGTAGGCCCTTGGAAGCTTGAGCGACTGGAAAATTTTATGATAAGTTACTCTTAGTAGCGATTATTTAGAGCTTGGATAATAAATTATAGTTGTTGATACAAAGAACACACCTTCCAACTTTCAGGTCTCTACGATATCCGTCAGTCATTTAGGACAAAGCATTTTCATTAGTTGTCCAATACTCTATCGTTCCAGGTATGTCATTGACAGGAGGGCGCTACTATCTTAATGGGTTATTCATTAGTCCCAACTTTATGCCACTTGACATTTCAGAATCGTTTGACTTTAGATACCTAAGTGATTTGATATTCGGAGTCTTTTAATGAAATCAAGTTCTGAAATAACTTGAGGTGTTGTACCCGATCAAGCTTTTCATTGCAGGACAGTTAAATGGTTTTATTATTAGTTTCTTCTCTAAGTCTTAATTTGTCAGAGTAGGTAAAGGCTCCATGAGAGCAAAATTTAGCATTATAATATAGTTTTTAATTTTTTTCTTGAAATATTTGACGCCTTGTAATCTCTCGTTAATATAGGTCCACACAAATAAATAATGTTTGACTTCGACTTTAATCATTATGCTCTTATAGCCTGACCAGGAACATAAAAACCCTGGCATAGAGGCGCGTCAATTGCATTTGATAGTGCAACACTGAGTACTGTCGTACCTGTGTTAAATTAATAGGCTAACTTTATGTATCAGGATTCAGGATTACGGGCTAATTTGATATTTTCAAAAATTAACGAAAATATATTATTATAGGTAACCTGGTTTAAATAAATTAAATGAAACCATCAATCGAGCTACAATATAAAAATTTCATCCGTTAAAAGCCCTCAAGTTATTTCTGAACTTTAGTTTAGTAAAAGATTCAGAATCTCAAATCGCTTATTTAAAAAATAAAACCATAAATAGAAAACGAATAGAGGTAACTTTGGGAATTTATTCTATCGAGTCAACTTCATCAAATCGTGTTTCCATCCGTTAATAGCCCTAGAAAATATCCTCAACTATGCCCAAATAAAATCTTAGCCTTTAATTTTACTGTTTAATACCTCAAAAATGAAAAATGAAAACCTCTTTTTCACCATTTTCACTGCTACCCGGCCTTAAGTCTACCATTCTTTATTAAGCTCATAGATATGCTTACTTCAGTCCTTGTCCCATGTCTCGTAGCACTTCCCTCGGTTGTCTGTGCGCCTGCCCACTTGTGCCATGTTGCTGCAACAAGAATCAATAAATTTGTAAGTAAATAAAATTTTGGTTGTACAGATATGTGAAAGTCGATGAATTTGGAAGAAATATCGCGTTTTCAAATGTGTCGGTTTTTATTTCATCTAACAGTTGTAATTCATTTAAAAATTGGGAGATTGGTCCGAATATTTAGTTGACGGGAGATTAGGTTATGTCGCATCTTTTGGGAGAGGCTGAAACATTTACTCAGTTTCTTATATTATATCCAATCATTTGCTATTTATACTACATAGATGTTAAATCAATAAGTGTCAGGACATTTTAAGACTTCTTTTTCAATGGTCTCGCTTTCTCATTGGTGTCTAAAGTCGGTCATGTTAATATGCATTGCCGATTGTTTAAGCTGCGCTTACGGCAAGTTGTTTTCGAGTGAGGCTTGTCATCAGTCGTCGGTCCAGTTTGAGCGGTCGTCCGCCGTCAGTCGTGACGACAGTGCTCGCTGTCAGCAGCTGGAAGTTAACGGGACCGAAGGCTAAGTACTAAATACTCGGTTACAGCGGTTAATGTTGACGCGTTGAGCAAAAAAGCCGCCGTATTTGGACACTTGAGTTAGTGTATTTATATGGAATTATTATATGAGTAGCTGTTGTATGTAGTATTAATTGTGAAAAATTTAAAACGTTAAAATAAAGGTATCGTTATAGCCAATGATCTGCTCTCATAGTGACAATGACGTAATGTCAATGTCACACTAAAAAAATGTGAGAATAGAGGAACGCGCGCCGGACGACTCCGCACGCTTTTGTGCTAAAACATTATAATGTGAAAGTTAAGTACCTATCCAGTGTTTTATTTATGAGAATAGAACTACCGGCCTCTAACATTAGTGTGCAGTATTGTTTTGGTTACATGGTTTTATAGGCGTATTCAGATTTGGCCAGGGGATGGGTCAGGGCAAATTAGATTTTTAAGGCAAGATCTCCGCTCTATAGACAAAACACAAAAAAAAAAATTAGGCAACAGCCCCCCTTTCCACCCTCCTCCCAATCGCCTGAATCCTATCACTAATATCAAGCTATCAGATTATAGTTTTCGTACATAACACAATGTATTATAATTATGGTTTACCATACCATTCTTACCGTTGAATTCTTTCTGCGTATTTGCTGTTCGAGAATTTCTTCATTTACTTTTTAGAAATGTAAGCGATGAAATGTGTGTGTGAAAGAGAAAGTGTTAGTAAAGTGACAGAGACGAAAAGTGGGCGTGGCCCCAAGCTAGACTGTGTAAGAGCGAGAGGGTGTGTGTGTGAGCGGGACGGCACCTCACCTCCCAGTTCTTGATGCGTTTGTTGTAGCCTTCTAACTTCTTCTGTAACTGAGCTATACAGAGCGCACTCTTCTGGTTTTTCTTTTCGAAAACCGCTTTGATGCGCTGTAACTGCTGCTTGTCAGCGTTCGCTGCCAGTTTCAAGTATTCATTTACGTTATCTGAAAGAATATATTTTCGATTTAAAATTTGAATGTCAATTTGTGTAGGGTAAACTGCCAGTCATTGGACACTTAGGAAAATTATTGGACAGTTATTTACTGAATTAAAAATAGCATTTCTATTTCAACAACTGAGAGATTCCGACTGATGGAGATAAAAGGGCATTTTTTTGAAGGAAAATTCATTTTAAGAAAATTTAAGGGTTGTTTTGTCCAATGACTGGCAGCGTCCAATGACTGTCGGTTTACCCTATTTAGTATTAAATTTTAACAAATTAGGTAGCTTCATTTGAAAGGATGCACTGAGTATTTATTATGATCAGATCAGCCAATCAGGTAGATTACAGCAATCTTGTAACCAAACTGGGAATCGAACCTGAACTATACTCTTTAGTCTCTTGACTCAGAGGGATACTTTGGATTTTGTTTTTCTGAATCAGTGAGGAGGTCCGAGGCTGATAGACATTCTACATAAGAGTATAATAATATTTTTAAATTTAGACTCACATCAAATCACACCCATAATAGTGGGAATTTTTTTATTTGAGGAGACAAACGAGTGTAAGCAGTGAATGTCAGTTTGCAGTTATCGCATTAAAAATGTAAATTGTTTCTCACCATCCCTAATAGTCTGTTCGAACCGTATCAAGTCCTTCGTGCGTTCAATCTTGGAGTTGAGGTGCGCAATGGCAGCTAACGCCTTTGATGACGTCACACTGGTGCCACCATCGTTCTCATCTGTCAAATTCGGAATACTCTTTTTAATAAACAAAAATACATAGAAGCTGTCAAGAAAAAAAAGCTAAATATACAGAATTTTAATGACTATTACATCTAATATTATAAATTTGTAAAACTAGATAAGACTGTTACCTTGATTAGTGTAATCGCCGTCTTGACCTGAAAAGTAAAGATTATTATTATAAGGTCAAAGTTATTTTAATAATTAATTCGTAATCTTTCGCTTTATATGTATAAATTTCAGTCATGTCAACTACTCAACGAGGGTTATCGTTTTTATACTTAACAGTTGGCACCGCTGGTGATTGACAAGGTTTACAGTGGAGCCAACCTGGTGAATTCAACAAATGTTGGCGCCATTATTTTAGCCACTAGCGAAAGACAGGGCCTTACTCTACAGTAGCGACAAGTGAATGCAAATACAGCCTTCAGTGCTGTGAGTCTAGCAATAAATCTTAGTTTGAGTTTTATTATACCCAAATAAAGCTAAAAATTATACCTCTATACGCCGGTGAGCCGTATTCGTCTGCCGAAGATAACGCGTACGAAACGTTAGGACTGAACACCGCGCTCGAGTAGTCGCCAGGAGCTATCACGCTGGAAAGTATCTTCTTCTGTGGGGAGTCTTCCAGACTGGAACAAAAAAGAAGTTAAAAAAATTAAAATGACATCCTTTGAAATTGCTACAGCTCTACAACCATGCCAGAGAACATAATGCAAAGTTATCCACCTAGATGGCGCTGTGTATACTGTTAGCTCGCGATGTTAAAGATTTTGTCTCATCTTAATAACGCTCTAAGAATACTCGCCTCAGCGCTTCTACGAAGACTTCAAGGAGGTTATCTAAAGTCTAAAGTGCGTGCACATTCGTGCAACTTCGCAAATAAAAATGTGTGGCAACATGTTATTCAAATGGCTTTTTTTCTCTCGATCATTGTAATAAAGGTCGAATTCATAAGGACGAATGATTAGGTTCGATGGGAACCGAAGTTAGCTCATAAGCCAAGTAGTAGCCAGACGATTCGGTGTTCACCTTCGGAGCACTTCGAACATTCGCGGAAATCTCGTTAACTTCGGCCAACTTCGCGAGTGTAGCGGAGGTTTAAATAAAGTTACTCACTCTCTGGTGCTATTGCCGGTGGTGTTAGCAGACAGGGGACTGTTGCCGAGGTCCCTCGAGTGCGACTTGACGTGATGTGGCCTCTCCCCATGCCTTGATGACGACGTCGAAGACGGCTCCTGAAAAAGAAACAAGATATTTGCTATTAAACTAATCTATATTCATATCCTACTATCTGTAATACGGTGGACTGATGATCTTGTGAAGTTTAGGGAAAGAGCTTCGACGCGGGCAGCGTGCTGGCAACAAGACCAGTGGTTTTGGAAATCCTTGTCCTGCAGTGGACGTCTTTTGAAAACTTCAAACTTCATTAGTACTTTGTGCCCACAATGTTTGGGATTGGAATTTAATCGACAGAACGTCCTATAATCCTATTGTGCCTTTTCTATGTATTCGTCTTTATTGTGTCTGTTTCTACGCCTAAATAAACGTTTTAAACTATTTTCGATATTTTAACTTATTCACGAATCGAATTTGCGTGGGTGAAGCCGCGGGCAGAAGCTAGCTAGAAAATAAAGTACTTTAATTTAAAAGCCTTCAAACTTGACGCCATTACAAAGAAATCAGTGTATTTCAACAAACATGTCACATTTCACACCATGTTCATTAGATGTTATCAAGTTCAGTCGGTAGCGTAGCGACTGGCAGTAGGGTTGCCGGTCGTTTGGTTTGTGAAAGAAATACATTAATTATTTGCCGGTCGTTTGGTATGTGAAAGAAATACATTAATTATTTGGTACATCATTTCTAGTATTGTTCCCTAATGAGTTGAGTCAGCAAAAAGGCGTGGACATGTCATACAATAATTAGACAATAATACACATAATCTGCTATACATACATTTATTTTGCCAATGAATCATACCATATTCGTTTTTCTAATTCGAACGTTTCTGTTAAAATGTTATTTTTAGGAACCTTTATCAATAATTACGATAGATGCTGAGTTGTACATAGAAGCTAAACAGATATTGAGTTAACAGAATAACTTTTCAAATGTATTTTTTTGCCAGTTTTAAAATGGTTAACCTGCTAAAGTGCCAACCCTACGCCAAAGATGTCAGATACCCGCATAGCTTGTGGCATAGCCCTGCGGGGGTAATGACCGAACCCCCTGTAATTGAGACACCCAGTGGTGAACTTTAATTGACAGATAAACTTTTAGACGAGTCGGTGGAGATAACTTTGAAACTGCCGTAAGTTGAATTTTGTATGTATGTGTCTCGAAGATATTAGTTATGACAGTTTAATGAAGTATTGCCAAATACTTGTCCTTTATTTTCAAATATTTCTATGTATTACTTAATCTTAAGTTAACGACTCGGGAAAATATCTGTATCGGTTTTGATTGGTGTTAAAAAAAGCCTGCTTTGAGTCATAAATAGTCACCTTTGAGTCATGAATAGTCATCTTTGTATTATGAACAATCGAGACTCGAACAGAGGCTAATTTGATCTGAACCCATAGGTAGTCCGATTACGAAGTGAATTTCATAACTTCCCTTAAACCTAAAACAACCAACATCCTAAACTTATCAATAGATTAAACCAACAAGCATCAATTAGACTTGGAAGTTGAAATCCTTTTACAATCACAGATTAGAACAGTTACAGAACCTCCAATTGATTTCAAAATGATACACAGATCCAAGGATTCAAAATTTCAAATCCACGATAAATCAAACATCAAACAACAGCCGCTAAACTAGCCGTTTATAAATAAATCTGTTTGCACAAACCGTTTGGCGATTACAATGTTTCTACACTTGTGCTAAATAAATAATAAATAATAAATAAAATAAAAAAACGTTTATTTGAACCAAAAGTTACATTATGCATGTATTACTATGCAAAAGTTACAAAAAGTGGCATGATAATCGGGGGTCCCATGACTACTAAACTAGGTTACAACCTGTATCTTAGTAGCCAGTGATTCCTCAACTAAGATTTAAATACAATGACTTGGTCCGATTGGTTAGTCTTTTAAAACAAAACCAAAACTTTTAAAACAAGAAAAAGAAGACTTAAATTTAGTTTAAAACAGTGTTACATAACAATTAGAGTACAAACGAATGAACGTGTTATTGTGTGAGAGTGAGTGTGTGAGAGTGAGTGAGTGAGTGAGAGTGAGTGAGTGAAATTATCAGTGTGTAAGTGAGTGAGGTGTGCAAGTCTGTGCTGAGTGGTAAGGTGGCATCTGCATAACCTGATCCTATGTAAGAAGCGATTCGGTTTCATTATAGTCTAACGAAAGAAGAAATAATTTAACTGCTCTCCTGAATTCATATCTGGTAAGTGGGTAAATACTTAAACGTTTATTCACTTTGTTATAAATTTTAGAACTTAAGGCCTTGAACTGANTAAATAATAACCGAGTATTACTCGTAGAATTAGAACAATATTGCTCATTATCAATTTTAGCCCGATTTTGTAATGTAAACTAGGGACCAGGAAGGAAATAAGTATAGAAAAAATATTCAAGTTAAGATTAAAAAAAACTAAAAAAACTGGCATTGTTTGTGGCAATTACATTATTTTGTCGTAGAAGTAATGGAAATTAATTTGGGAGAATCTTTAGCATCAACATTGGATATTAAACTACAACCCAGGTAACTTAATATCCAATGCAGGAGCACGACCCTCTCTACTCATAGTATAAAGACTTATTTGGCCAACTTCTGGCCAAGGCCTGAAATTCATGTTTCTCCCTTTTTAACCGACTTCAACAAAAGGTCCTCCTTTTGGTGAAGTCGGTGCTTCTTAATTCTTTAAACTCACTTAAATGCGCGCGAGCAAAGCCACAGACAAAAGCTAGTGGATTAAAAACAAAAACAAATTACGGCTTGCGTTTTAAAAGCAATACCGATTGGATAGTTTTGGCGCCAACAAAATACCGTCGCCTCAGGCGTTCTTCATGTAAATTATAACAACACCATTGACCGTGCCAAGACCATTATAAAAGGCGATATATTGTAACATACGTACTCAGCTGTCGATATATCGTGCTATGATAATTTTGTCAAGTGTCAAGATTTTCTGAAGGAAGGGTTTTGCATAAGTAAAGGCTTTGTATAAAACAAAAGATACTTAAGTATACAAAAAGAGACAGGATTTTTTGACCTTCAACAAAATATTTTATAGGTAGGTATTATTATTTTGCTGTTATGTAGGAGTAATGAGTATTATGATAATATGGATGGATTAATCAAATATTGTTCTCTCTGTGTCATTATTAATTGAATTTGAAGCAAAAATTTTAGCAGCCTTTATTCGTATTGTCTCGAACTGTATATTTGAGATGTTCTAGCTAATAGGTATAATATGTTAAAGTGCTTTGAACACGCCTAAGTTTTGACGGTAACATAACTTTTACGAATTTAAATAAGCTGAAAGTAAATTATTCAACATCTTACACATACATAATTACGTGAATAGACTTCGCGTTTTTTGCTATTTATAAAAAGACGTCAACTTATGACACGAAATAACTCATTTACTAAAATAATTAACGTTATATCATAATTATAGAACCTAAATGTAATTAAGAAAAGGTGATAAGTGTTTATTTATGAGTGAAATCTAAACACATTCGTGGTTAAACTTTCACTGTTGCCGTAACTCTGGCTACATAATAATGCACACTATGTGGTATGCAACCAATCATGAAATTAGAAGACCAAATTGAAAGGATCATTAATAATGTACACTATCTAATCATCATATTGTTAAATAGAAAATCAAATTAAAAGGATCATCAAGTATAAAATATACTTTGCTTGTTACCTACTTTGTTAACTCTAAGACAGCGTGAGCTTTGTGTCCTTTTAAGTCTATCCAGACGAAGAAGTTAGTGTCCCAGTATATTATACTATGTGGTATTAAGTTTTACTAAAATTATGTAGAATGAGGCGAATTTCAGAAATTCCAAAATAGATCTTGGATCACTTGGATAGATTACGATCTCTAGACTTTTCAGAGGGGTCATAAGTCATTCACGTACTATTTGAAGTATAGATAGACTGCTGAAAATAGCAATGGCAATCAGGCAATTTAAGTCCACCATTCATTTAAATAAAGCCTCATAATATTCGAAAAAAATCTCCCGGGAAGGAAGTTCAAAATCACATAGCAAAATTTTTGTAATACAGTGTACAGACGACGATGGCATATCAGATTTACATTTTTGTTAAAAATTCGACCTTATTTTAACTACATAAAAAGCCCTAGTGTTTAGCTTTAAGTCAACAACGTTAATTAATCACGATATGAATGAATGCGTCAGAAGATTATCTGCAGAGTAATTTTTATCATGTAGACAGAATGTTTGGCACCAATCCTAGCCGTTTAGCATTCGGAGACACCAATCTGCGTCAATCTCTCATTGGTTTCTATGCACAGTGTTATCTAGTAGATATAGAGAGAGACGATTAACTAAAATTAATTTTCCTAGGTGCTTTTGTGATGTTGTCAGTCCCTAATAAACACCGCAGTGTCTCAAGACAAGTCTTTGACCAGTGTGTGTTGCCAGTGATGGTATATGAATCTGAAACGTGTGGTCGCTCACTATGGGCCTCATAAGAAGGCTCAAGGTCACCCAAAGGGCGATGGAGCGGGCTATGCTCGGAGTTTCCCTGCGTGATCGAATCAGAAATGAGGAGATCCGCAGGAGAACCAATGTGACCGACATAGCTCGCAGAATTGCTAAAATCAAGTGGCAGTGAGCGGGGCACATAGCTCGTAGAGACAATGGCCGTTGGGGCAGAAAATTTCTCGAGTGGCGACCACGGGCTGGAAGACGTAGCGTGGGCAGGCCTCCCACTAGGTGGACCAACGATCTGGTAAAGGTCGCGGATAGAACCTGGATGAGAGCGAACGAACGGTCCCTATTTACTTAATCAAATGACAATAGTGACTGAGTTTGTTCTGTTTTTTCTCAGCACTGGCCCACATTATTGTCCTCAGGCAGTGGTAGGGTAAACGGGAAGTGTATAAGCGCCTTTTATAAGCCTCATCATCATCATCATTTCAGCCATAGGACGTCCTCTGCTGAACATAGGCCTCCCCCAATGATTACCATAATAACCGGCTGGTAGCTGCCTGCATCCAGCACCTTCCTGCTACCTTTATGAGGTTGTCCTTGTGGATGTTTTATGCCTTTAAAAGCCTAATTGCAAAAAAATAAACGATTTCTACGAGTTTTCTGACTGTCTAAGTCGATTCTGTAATTCAGAGGGCACTTGGGCTATATCAGACGCCATAACCATACGGTCTGTCACCAGATTTTTGCAGCCCACGCGATATAATAAGATGTCATAATAAATGACGTAAGCAATTACTAGAACGAAATCATTTTATTTCAGAGCTGTGGTAGTAAACTAATGGGTCGGCTATTAGTCTTCTACGCCCATATTATTTATCTTTAGGTAGGTTAATGACAATGTGTATTAGATTATGAAATAGGTTATTAGAAATAGGTTGTTATTGAAGGTTTTTTAATATTCCGAAACTTAATATTTAATTATTTATTTAATACAGATCATTACTGAAATATAGGTACACCCGCTAAAACTAAGGCAGAGTCCCTGAATGACCCTGATAAAATATTAGGGTGAATATACGACAAAAGAATATCATATGACATCAGACTATTGATTGCTATTCCGAAATAGCCCCTATTCAATTAACAAAGATGCTACAGTGTCAAGTTCTGTGTACCGTCTGTATCTGCTCTACGCCTACAGAATAAAATAATATTTCAATAAAAAATAATAACTTTTATACACAATACTGTCCCTAACCAGCACTAAAGGGAAAGTGCGTGACTTAATCCATGAATGGTCCCGAATGGTTTGCTAAGTGTGACGAATTAAGTCATATTAAAATGAATGAAGCGGTACTTACGACGGCTATTTTGGGTCTTTGTATTACCAGTGGTGAAATTTTTCCCACATTTTAGTGTAGTAACATAATTTGAGGGGTTAAGTGGCGTTAAAAAGTTAATTTCACTTAACTAATAGGTAGAATAATAAAATATGTTATTAAATTATACTTTTGTACATGCTTTCCGACTCACAATTTGGGATATCGAGTCACAACACACGACATAATGACCTGCTGGGTAATATCAGAGGGTAGACCAAATNGACCAAATCCTCGATTTGCCTCCGGAAAATTAGAAAGGGCTGTACTTCTTAAATGGACACCAAATAACATGATGGTGAAGGGAGCATGTAGAACATTTAACGTTAGGTTGTTTATTTAAAATGTAGTTTGAGAAGCGACTCTAACCGCTAAGAAATTTTAATAACGATTGAACATAAAACAGTCTACTCACACTGACGACATGGTGCACGCTCGAAGGCGACTGGACCCTGGACCTGATGACGGCATCGTCCGTCACCACCGCCGGGTCCCTCGCCAGGTCTGCTGTCGACGGCGACTGGCTCCGACTGGAGCCCTTGCTGTGGGCATGCACCACGTGCAGGGTATCCATATCTATCACAATACTATCACAAGCTAAGCCGGGATCACAGACATAACAAGGAACTGGCTTCGTAATGCTCTCGCGTCAATTCATAACGGTTTCGTTGACGAGGCATCGGGCGGCGTCGGTCTCGCCATTCCTTCTTTTCTGTAACAAAAAGAAACAGATGTTAAGGCACTTAGNACACCTCGTCATTGAACTAATACAAAAACTATTAGTAAACTGCCTTTATTTGTTTAATTTCTAAGCGCCAAATTTAGACGCGAAACGTCAAAACAAACCTGACGTCAATAGATTATTAAATTGCAAATGCAAACCTCTTTCCATAAAACATAACAAGAAGGAGGTTTTTCCACTTCGAAAAACAGCCGCGAAGTATCATACGAATTTCCCAAAGGATGTTGAAATGTAAGTAAAACAAACGGCATCCACGCATTTTTTTTTCTACAGAAAATAAACCTAAAACTGAAAGGGCTATGTTCACTTAGTCCGTTTAATTTGGTCAGCAAACGTTTGGGAATTGGGTGAGGTAGGGTCTAGCCTTTCTTGAGAAGGACTCGGGTAAAGAAAGGGTTTTAAGTCTTTTAAGTCTAAGGGGAAGGCCCTTAAACCTGTTGTTTGTTCAATCAATAGTTTCGGAATTAGAACTGGCAAAGTCACGTTATCTGATCATTTATCTTTCCAATCTAGCTACATATTTGGATAATAAAGTACAGTCAACAGTCTAGGAATTAGAATTTATCACGTTGTCTGACTATTTACATCAACATATGGAAAAATAAATCCAGAGTTATTGAAGAAAACATCCTGGAACTAACAGGACAGATATGTATTATGTACCATCCTAGACAGCATCAGGTGCGATTGCGGACAAATACCTGCCTTGTTCTGCATAAAGAGTGTGGTTCAATCACTTCAACAATGTGACCAAAGAGAGCGAAGTTCAACAGTTAGGTGAGTTAGGCTTCAGAGTGCCGCTATTTTAGTCTGTAATGATGTAATTCCCGGGTCACTGAATCGCGGCCGTGTCAAGGGCATATTTAGGACGTTTTGAATGGGTGTAAATAGCGAATTGAATGTACTATCGCCCCTCGGTGAGTGGACGGTTGGAGAGTAAACAACATACGGAAGAGAATTGTACGGTGCTTTAAAAAGATTCTTTCAAAGATCTTCTATTGTATTGTGAAGTTCTTGGATTCCCTCCTTAGGAGTTTCAGCAAAAGTAAAAAGAAAATGAGAAATGACAAGACAAGACTTGACTTGTAGGGCCTAGATTCGGAGAAGACTACACCTGATTGTCATTGAATTGATGTAGACGCAAATTTCAAAGGTCCCGTTTTTGTAATATAGATTTTGCTACCAAACCGAAGTAAATTAAAAGCGTGTTTACGACACCTAAAATAAGCGTCAAATATGATCAAGCGTGGGAAGGAAGACTTGGTCGGATATCAAGTAAATTAATCAAAAACCTTTTTAGGGCACAACATCGCTGAACTGGCAAATAACAACTCGACTGGGGAATTTCAGCCAGTAAATAGGTACGAAAGAGGTAGTTATAATAACAAACGGAGTTCAGACTTAATATTGTGCTATGTTGTTGTGTTAATTGTATTGTTATTGTTTGTTCTCTGTAGCTGTGCCTTAAATAAATAAATAAACTGAGAGAACAGGTATTCCTTTTTATTTGGCCATATTCTGCAAAAAAAAAAAAATATTTATGTAGGTATTTTTATATCCTGTTGGCTGTTGGTCTAACGTTTCGATCGTCAAATTAGTCTCTATAAGGCAAAAACTGGTGGACCGACGATCTGGTGAAGGTCGCAGGAAGAACCTGGATGCGGTCAGCCCAGGACCGGTCGTTATGGAAAGCCTTGGGGAAGGCAGTGGACGTCATTTGACTGAAACGAACGAAGGCAAAAACATTGTTTTAGTGCTAACAGGTCCTGGTCAAAGGGCGGCTACTGTCTTTTGCCATCATAGAAATCATATGCCACCTCGTTTATAAAAACCTTATGACTTTTAGCTTAGATCTTCATTTCCTCTGAAAGATTTGGTAGAGCATCCGACCCAAAACGTTATCTAATAAGACACAATCGAATCAGTTCGATGTTGTCTTAATTCGGTTTGTGAGTCACTCGTTATTCTCGAACACGGATTGAGGTCTGCTCAATTCTGAACTGGGGTCGAGCGGAGGGCGAAATATCGTTTCTTCATATTAATGGCGGTCGTCTGGTTCGCAGACTTTGACAAAGGTACAGACTGGACACCAAAAACTAACCGTGGCATCTTATGTATTGTAAAAGGTGATATTTTCTTCAACAATGTAAGTAGACTGATGTGCTGGCGATTGTACCAGACTTTATTTAATCTCGAAGGAAATTAATAAACATTACCAGACTGTAGTGTGCTCTGCTCCTGACCTATATTTAACCCCTACGGGATTCAAATCCTCAGCTGCAGTTAAGGGTGTTGTCTGATCANTAGTCTGATAAAACCATCAAGCATCTGTTAGAAGTTGTGGTCTTCTTATTCTTAATACTTTAGCTCAATAAATGCTAGATTTAGTTGCAGATCCAGTTCAGTTCTGATAGTCCAAAATTGGCACTCATTAGCTTATGTTTAGTAATTATTGGAAGAATGTATCTCACTGTAAATAGCACAAAGTATTTCCCATCAGATAACAATATAATGAACTATGATGACTCACCAAATAACGATTTCTTTCTGATAACGTTATATTCTCTACCAAACGGTATCAACGGCAGATCAAAATCTGTTACCCAGCAAGCCTTTTAGGTGAACATGTTTGGAATAAATCTAGCTTAAATTCGCCAGAGTATTAAGGGATCACGATACAAAGTAGGAAAACAATTTATTTTCAACGTTAGACAGAGAGGCTTTACTACCTAGACTGGATATTTGTTATTCTGTATGTGGCGTTACATGACCCTTGAAAAGCTGGAAAATACTGCCAATTTTTTCAAGAAAAAGAAGACAGCTGAAGTTATTTTGGTGACTTAACCCTTCTTAACCAGGCGATGGTAGCTATAGAGTCCACATCAATTTGAACTTTATGCTGTGAAGATACGGTTGAAAACCAATGCCTTTTTTAGTCTGGTTAAGGTATAAGTAGTTTCTGGGAAAAACATTGTTGCGTTAACTATTCAGTGATATAATTTTTTATCCATCAGCCAATGTATTTACAGGCAAATCACTCAATTTAAAGAGGTAATGATGGATATAGATAAACAGAACATTAGTGGCATTAATAATTTTAGGTCGACAAAATAAAGAAAGAAAAATAGAAAGAAAGAAAAATTATTTATTTGACAATTAAAAAGCACAAAAAACAACGAGGCGGAGAAAAAAAAAAAATGTTGCCAAAGAGGTCACCCACTCAGTATTATCTTGACAGTTGACATTTTACTGCCAAGTGCCAAGACACTGGTTTTCAGTGGGTGCCTTGTACGCAGGGGCAAAAAAAAAAAATATAATAAGATAAATTCAAATTAATTAAAATTCACATTGAAATAAAAATAAAAATAACAATAACAATTTCAATTTCTAATTCACCGCCAAAATTCAGACAGATATCATTGTCTATGGCCGGTTCGCGCGCTACTTGCCCACAATGCCCGCTTTCACCTTTGTTTTCTCTCTTCCGTAAAAATGCAATATTGTTATGATTAGTGTACTTTTTAAACGTTTATGGTGGAATTTAATGACTACGTGACCCGTGTCCTAAATGAAAAAAAATCTTTGGAAGAACTTTCGTAATCCCATCCCAACTAATATTATAAATGCGAAAGTAACTCTGTCTGTCTGTCTGTCTGTTACGCTTTCCCGCTTAAACCTCGCAACCGATTTTGATGAAATTTGGCATAGAGATAGTTTGAGTCCCGGGAAAGAACATAGGATAGTTTTTATCCCGGTTTTTGAAACAGGGACGCGCGCGATAAAGTTTTTCTGTGACAGACAAAATTCCACGCGGGCGAAGCCGCGGGCGGAAAGCTAGTAACTTGATAAAATCGAACTGCCTAAGGTGGGAATCGAACCCACGACCTTTCACTTGCCGGGCGACTGCTCTTCCATCTGAGCTACTTAGAAGAACTTTATTCATACTCAAAGTCTGGAGACAATACATACTTGAGTGTCTGTCCCGTCTTTAGTACGATCTTCTCTAGTTTTGGCACAGGATAACCCAGTTCTGTTAAGGTATTTGGAGACTACAATTTCAGTTACTAGGGTTGCCACTTTACCAAACTTAGGCTGGGTTGAACCATCTTACTTTAACTTTGACAAACGTCAAAAATCTGTCAAACTCCATACAAAAAACATTGGTTATCGTCATAGTTACTACGTCCATAGTTATTACGTCCATTTATTAAACGTAAAAAAATGAGCCACCTTTTAAAAAAGAATCCTCTAGGCTTTAGCAGAACCAAAAAACCCGCACAATATTCAAGTTCATCCATCGCTAACATTTGACCCCACTGGAATTTGAACCAGCAAACCGCTGACGTTATATTCCGGCAGGCAGCGGGCATAACTCAAACATCATACACTACTATAATACACTTATGTTTCTTTGTATTACGATTACGAGCAATGGAGACAATACTCTGACCCACATCGCTCGTTTAGGGTTGCCAAATGGTATCGTGACGTCATCATTTCCCTTAATTGGTCCTCCTTTAATTACAAGCTTTTGACGTGTAATATTGGGTCAAAGAGAGGTATTCAATAATGGTAGAGTCAGTTGATCTGACATTAACACTAAACCATGAGGTGGGACAGTAAGGAAATGACCCTAAAAACTGAATTGAAACTCAATATTAAGAAACTAACAAGCTAACAACAGGCTTGAAAGGCATATCATAATGTTAACAGCGATGTGGTCTTCCAGAACCGAACTTCGTTTCTACCTTCGGTCTGATCAACACTTTCTATCAGCTGAGAAGCAGGCCAAGAGTTTCCTTGTTGTGAATAAAAAGCCATGCCAGTTGAACAGGGACTCTCCAATTCCATATCACTATTCTTTATTTAATATTATATGGCAACCCTACTGGGGTTGACCCTTGCCGTCTGTCTGGTACATTTTTTATCCTTATCGTAGACCGTTGACCAGAGACAACGGAAACGTCATA